ATGGGTTAGCCTGGTGATGGGTATTGAGGAGGGCACGTTCTGCATGGACCACTGGGTGTTATGCACAAACAATGAATCATGGAACACTACATCTAAAATTAATGATGTAATGTATGGGGATTAACATAACAATAAAAAAAATTAAAAAAAAAAAGAAAGAAAGTGGATCCAAGTTTGTAAGTGGGAAGAGGTTTAGCATGGAATCTTGAGCAACACCAATGGATGGAGAGAAAACCCCAAAGGCAGGGAAAGAACAAACAGAGAAACACACAAAGAATCTGAGCAGAGCAGTAAAATGAGAACCAGTGGACCATGAGGGTCAGGCAGAGTAGAGCAATCCATTAAAATAAAGACTGGAGGGGAGCCTGGGTGGCTCCATCGGTGAAGCGTCCGATGCTTGCGTCCGATGATTTCAGCTCAAGTCGTGATCTCAGGGTCCTGAGATCGAGCCCCATATAGGGTTCCGCGCTGAGCGTTGGGCCTGCTCAAGATTCTCTCTCTCCCTCTCCCTCTGTCCCTCCCTTCACTCTCTCTCTCTCAAACAAAAACAAAAACAAAACTGGAAAGTGTCCACTGGGATCTGACAGTTACAGAGTAACTGGTACCTTTATTCTGAATACATCCAGGCAGGTGACCAGAGCCAAGGATGTTCTGCAGTATGCTGAATGAGGAATGAGGGGAAAGGAAGCAGAACCAACTAGTAGAGTCAAGTCTAATAGTTTCTGAAGTCTAGATGAGAACAGAGGGAGAAGAATAGACAGTAGCCCAAGAGGGCCTGAGGTAAAGAGAAGGCTGTTTTTCCTTTCCTTTTGTTTTACTCCATTTCATTAAGGATGGGAGAGACTTGAACATGCTTACATGTTGAGGAGAATGAACCAATAGAGAGGAAAAGAGAGAAAGAACCTGACCGTGTTTTCATATCAGAAAAACACTCTCAGTGGGTAACGAGGTGTTTCGTTTATTTATCTGTTCATTCAATATTTATTGCACGTCCACCATATGCATATAGCACTGAACTCGGCACTAGTTCCTACTGTGTTTGCTTTTTAATTAAGTGAGCTCATGAAGACACACATCAGTGAATTCAGGGTCCTCCAAGACAAGGGCCACATATGTAATCCAAAGTAGATGTACACTGCAATTCAGAAAACATCACTATGATTCTTCAAAATGGCACCTTTTAAAATACAGTAAAGTTGCAATTCTATTTAGGTATTTTGGCTCTTGGCTACAGCAGCACATGCTGGGAGTTCTCTTCCTTCGGGTTAGGTTCATTTCAGGGTTCTAAGCTATACGACTCCAAGGCTTTGGGATTACAAACTGAAATTCTGATTTATTTCAAAGAGAAGAATTTGTGCAACGGAAAACCAAATCCCCTGCTACTAAAAAGAAAACAGCTGTGAATTAAGTTATTAACGTGTTATTTTTGCCTACGGAGCTGAGAGAAATATGTGGATTTGAGGGGTCTCATTTCAAATCTAATTGAAATCTTTTCATGGCCCCTCAGGGAATAGAATTTGCACACTGTTAGAAAATGGCTAGTTTCCTTAAAATTGTTCATGTGACTTATTCAAAGAGAGACCCTGTTACCAGAGAAATCATTTTCATTCATAGTATGACACAGGCAAATTAAAGAAAACAGAACTAATGCTCAAATCAATAAGAGCAGCATTTAGCTGTAGGCTATCTTACAAAGTAATATAGTAAATAAACCATCTTTATAGGTGAAATAATTTAGAGTCCCATTACGAAATGGAAAATCAGGAGATCTCCCACTGAAATACCACAAAATTTCTTCTATGGTTTGTGGTTGGGGGAAAGGGATGGGAGGAAGAACACACAATTTTTCATCTTCCTAATGTAGATTCTTTTTGCTCTATAAAACTGTCACAAAATTCATCAAGACGGAATTACTAAGGCAAGAAGTTATTCACAAACGGGAAAATGGAAGGTTCTTGGAAAATGTTTGACTCTAAGGGGGAGATGCACATATATAAAACCCCAGTGACAAAATTAGGAAAAAAGTTAAATTGGTCTAATCTGTATCAGGAAGTCATAGCCTCTTCCTAGGCAATTAAGAGGAGGTCAAGACATCCAGGATACGTTTTCATCTTCGAGACTGATATCACAGAAAGCAGCCACCATATCTAGCCCAAAATTGCCCATTGGTTGGTCCAGGTCCAGGGTCCTGGAACTGAGGACATATTTGCTAGAAATTGATTATTATGATCTTTTACTGGCAGTGAGTGCTTTAAAATAAGATTGATACTGTTAAACCAAGGCGTAGTTGGTATAGTATTAGGATTCTAGACAGTTCTGAGAAGTTTCTCTAACAAATTGTGGTCAGAAATAAAAATCCCAACCAAGATATTCTAGGTATTCGAAAAACAGCAAAAGTTCTTCATCTATGTTTCCTAAGTTTGCCAACACTAAATTTGTTCATATCATTTTGATTCCAACATTTAAAAAATGTTCACATTTTCTGGGAAGAAATTGATATTTCTTTTAAAGATACAATCATATCCAAGGTTTTAACCTGCATTTTTACTGGCTACTTGATGGATTCTAGGAATCATTTAGTTTTTTTTTAACCCATCAACGGAAACGATTTTATAACAATTCCTATAATGGCACTAGGTGCCATGACCACTGGCTGGTCCAGCAATTTGTATGGTCACAATGGAAGTCATGAGCATGAACAAGTCTTTAAAAGAAACTGATTCCTGCTAGAAATAACACTGCAATTTTAGTTTCTTATTACTCAGAGAAAGCAATCTGTAATTCAAAGAGCACATTGAAGAGTGGCTGTCCCTACCAGTTTATTTGGTAACCAATTCAGGGGTTTAATATAAGCCTGCAAGCCTCCTAGACACATTTCTGTGATGTCTGGAAACAAAAGTTCTAGGAGAAAGGGGCAATTTAAAATTGAAACGTATGGATTGCCTTTGACTGAACGACTGCTTCCGTAACAGAGTATCTTTAAGCGACAAGACTGGTAGTACCCAAATGATCAAACAAGCAATCCCTAGGGGGTTTATTAGGAAGCAATAATAAAGAGCCCTTCACCACTTCTTGTACCTGATACGCTTTTAATGTTGGGAGTAAACAGGGTGATCAAAGTCACTACCCAACACCACCAGCAGCCTTGGTTAGCGTGCGTCTGTGACTTTCTACATGTGCCGCTGGGACAGCGCAGGCATGGCAGAGATTCCGTGCCCCCTGATTGTGAAGCGCTTGGCTAGATGACACTTCCCAGCACCCCCGGTGGCTGGACAGGGACATGTGACTAAGTGGTCACCAGCGGAATGTGAGCCGTGGGGAAACATGCCGCTCCCACGCTCTTCTCCATTTCTCTGGGAGAAGGTCTGGGAGAAGGATCATTGGGACGGTGACCTGAGCTGGAACTTTCACAGGAGGACAATGTCCTGAGGCACAGTGGAGATCCAGAGAGAAGGAACCTGGGCCCCTGATGACCCCAGGAACAGAGCAAATGCTCACTTTAAAGGCTTTCCATAGGGCGCCTGGATGGCTCAGTCGGTTAAGAATCTGATTTTGGCTCAAGCCCTGATGTCAGGGTCCTGGAACTGAGCCCCATGTCGGGCTCCCACTCAGCGGGGAGTCTGCTGCTCCCTCTGCCTCTGCCCCTCCTCCACTCCCTGCTTATGTGTGTGTGCTCTCTCTCTCTCTCTCTCACTCTCTCTCTCAAATAAATAAATAAAATCTTTAAAAAAAAAAGAGGCTTTCCATAGACCGTTACATGAGAGAAATAAAGTTCTATCTCCTTTCAGCCACTGACTTACTGTTGGGATTCTCTACGGCAACAGCTTGGCCTTACCTTAACCAATACAAGATGTTTATAGGACCTTGGAAGCAAGAGGAAAAAGAAAATGGCCAGTCCAGACAAAAAGAGAGAATCTATTGCATAGTCCCCAGATGACACTGTCCTGTAGCATGGCATACATCATGAAACAAAAATAGTTTCCACGTAAAAACATAACTGCTCTCCATGATTAAAAAGAAATCTACACATTAGAGATAAACGGCAGTCAGAGGGACTCAATTAAGCAACATGAATTCTAAATTTTCCCAAAGCTAAGAAAAAACAAAACAAAACAAAACACAAGGATATAGCAGCCTTTCTCTGAAAGGACAAGTTACAAAATCAAGGCAATTTCAAAACTGACTGAACTCCCTATGGAGTACCTCTTCCGTTTGTTTGTCTGCTCCTCTCACAGCAGGCCCCAGCTTGAACCCACGGGCGAAGGGCTGGGCCACAGAAGGAATGTAAGAAGGGACACGCGTACAGACGTCCTCCTCCACTTCACCTGGAAGCAGCAGCGAATCTGTTGGGTACAAAATATTTCACTTGATCCTTTCACCAAGTTCACAATTGACCTAAATCACCTAAAAGCCTACAATAGTCGAAAGAGTGAAGTGAAAATGCTCAAGGAAAGTAGGTTTGTTCAACAATGCCTGTCCTCATTTGGGGATTTACCCAAGGGATTCCCTTTTCCATAAAATAGAAGTCAGTGGTGCATTTATTTTTATCTTATTGTCTCAAGGTCACATTCCATCCAAAAGGTCTGGGAGAAGGATCATTTAGGGACTGACTGGATCATGCCTCTCACCCCCAACCCAATTTCTACCTCTGTAGGAAAATAAGGCAAGATGCTACCTTTGTCTCATTTTCCCATATTTTCTGGAGGGATGGAGAGAAAGGAAATGAAGTGCTGAATTCATCCTGTAACACTACGGCAACATTTCAAAATATATATATATTAAAAAACAGTGACGCCAGAAGGAAAGAACTTTAACTTTCAGCAGAAAAATGAAGCACTCTGTCATATGCAGAATTCATGGTCTGATGTTCGACGCTGCAAACAACAACTTGTTTCTAGCTTGTTTAGCACCATGACAAGAATTCATGGTTTTCTGATCCGTCTATTGTAAATGGATCTGTTGCCTTATTTTTGCATGTGTGACAGAACACGGGGACATCACCATGAGATCTTCCACAGCTTTCTTTAAGGGGGACAAAAAATAAAAACAAACAGAAGCACAACAGGCTTCCTCATCAATCCAAGCTTTCACAGGACCAGAAGGGTGGCTGGAGCTACCCAGTAACTTGCAGCTGGCTCAGGATGATGCTGCTTGCTCCTCAATGATGATCCTAATGAAGACACTAATTAAGTTCTCAGTGGAAGTAATTAATTAACAACAGGCCTGCCTTGGCTGTTGCCAATAGCAGCATGTATAGGGAGATAATTAAGCAGGTATTGATATTGTCTTGAAATATGTCTCTCACCACTGCAGATAACACCATCACAAAACACGTTAATTACGGGCGCTTGGGTGGCTCAGTTGGTTAAGCGACTGCCTTCGGCTCAGGTCATGATCCTGGAGTCCCGGGATCGAGTCCCGCATCGGGCTCCCTGCTCGGCAGGGAGTCTGCTTCTCCCTCTGACCCTCCCGACCCTCCCCCCTCTCATGTGCTCTCTCTCTCTCAAATAAACAAATAAAAATCTTTAAAAAAAAAAAAAACACGTTAATTACAAAATTCTTAGGACTCCAGCAACAGAACAGAGTCAGCCTAGAAACTGAACCTGTGTGTGGGTAGGGGTATCGTGAAGAAGATACTTCTACTATGATTAATTACTGGAACCTTAAGATAGGACCTAATTAGCAGAAATAAAAACAATAGTCAACACTTACATGAGCTGACGTTTTATAGGCATCAATTCAGCTCATCCTCCCAACAGTGCTATTACATACTGTTTCACAGGCAAAGAGCTCTAAGCAAGGAGAGTAAGCTCATTCAAGGGGCCACAGCTAGAAAGTGTCAGAGCTGGGAAGTCTGTCAGCGGAGCCCATATCTGCCCACAACGTCATACCATGAACTTCTTTTAAACAAGCGGTTTCATTACATAACTTATTGAAGTTTATCAGATTATACAACCAAACTCAGAGCCAAGAAATGTCACTACTATCGCACATTAGCATGGTTAGTCAGTATTAAGTACGCTTAAACATTTTATACCCAGAGAAGTAATTTTTTTTAAAACTCAGTAAGGTTGATGGAAAGATTGGCTTTCTAACATATCTACTCATGAGCTCAAATCCACCTCCCTCATTGAGCTCCCTGGTGTAACTAACTGGGACTGATACAAGCCTGGTCAGGGGCCTGCCAACGACAAAAACAAGAAGAGAAAAGTTCAGGCCTCTTCATGGGAAAGCCTGTACCTATGAGATCACTGGCTGCCAGCTCAAACATCAGTTCAAATGTGAATCAAAATCAATTTTGCTTTCAGAGCTATTTAAAATCTGATTGACAATATTATGCAGCGAGGAGGACAACTCTCTTATTCCTATGCTGAAACTCTTTGGCTCCCTGATATGTTTGCAGAGAAGGCAGGATTTTCAACAAAAATTGTTTCTTTCATAAAGATTTTACTGCCATGGAAACAATTCCCTCAAAACAATAAGATTCAGTTTCCTCCACACCTTAAATTCTTGTCATTTGTTTCTTCAGTGTAAAAGCAAAATGCACAAATGCATATTCACTGATGCCTAACGCAGCACCTGACACATAGCAAATTCTCAACAAATACTTGAGACGGGAAATGATTTCCCCACATCTCACCTTTTAAACTTCACAGTAAGTATCAAGGGTCTACCTACCAACAGGACATTGTAGATGAAGTAAACTAAATATAGTCCTTACCCTCAAACACTAAAGTCTGTTCCAGGGGTAAGATTTTCACACATAAAATTAACCCAAGAATAATCAAGAATAAAATTGAACAGCTTTAGCCCTAAAGAGGACAGATTTATAAAAGAGTGAAACTAATATGAACAGGAATAGTCTGGTAAGGCATATTTTATGAAGAAGGCTACCTTATCTTTCAGCCATTCTAAAATCATATGTAGGTTATTTATATACTCACATTCTCTCAGAGAGAAAAATGATTGTATTCATTGATGGGGGGGGATGGAATTTCTGAAATTCTCTGTAAAATTCTCCAAAACTGAAATGCTTTATGAAACTTCATCTGATCTTATTAATTGTTGTTTCTGAAACAACCAAAGGCCTTGTTTCCATCTTAACTAAATACCGCTATCTTGGCTGATGTGCGATGCAGAGTCAAGGCATCCTCAAAAGTGAATCTTCATGTTGGATGGCAAGACTGGTTGAAAACATTCCAATCTCTTCTTTCTCAACTACATGATAAGAATTTCAACATTTACAAACTATGTGTTTATGCCATTTGTCTTTCCGTATTAAGTCAATGATCACAAGTCAAAGGCTATAATCAGATAATCTAATATAACATTAAAAAGTAAGCAATCTACCTGACATCTCATAATTTAGATAGCAATATTTAATCTGCCTGGCATATTTATAAAAAATTAACCAATCTGTTCCTTTGTTGTCATGTTGAAATGGCCAAAATTTCCTGAAATTTTGGGCCCTCCCCAAGACCAAAAAGAATATAGATAAGAACTGCTTTAGTAATAAGACCTCTTCAGGGCGCCTGGGTGGCTCAGTTGGTTAAGTGACTGCGTTCGGCTCAGGTCATGATCCTGGAGTCCCGGGATCGAGTCCCACATCGGGCTCCCTGCTCAGCAGGGGGTCTGCTTCTCCCTCTAACCCTCTTCCCTCTCGTGCTCTCTGTCTCTCATTCTCTCTCTCAAATAAGTAAATAAAATCTTTAAAAAAAAAAAGTAATAAGGCCTCTTCAGCACATAGTTTTCTGCTATGATAGTCCATCTCACTGGTTCTTGTTTGTAAAAATTTTTGAAGACCCCCAAAGAGCTTTTGTTTATTTGGGTTATATCAATCAATATTCATCATATTAGAAATTAAAACTAACAAATTTGCAAATATTTAATTATTGAATCATTGACAATAATACCATTATATATTAAAATAAGTATTTTTATGAAAAATCTTTTCCAAAAACAGAAAATAGTGGGGAAGAAATACTGTTTTACATTTTAAAATTTTTGTAAATGTCTTCCTTAAGAGAAAAAAAGCTAGGTTTTACATTTGCTTCTGCATTCAATTTTGGAATATGCTGTTTTAGTTGAAGTAAATGAAGAAAATCTAGTCTCACACAGAAATGCAGTTGGAAAAGAGAGGAGTACTTTAATAGTCTTTTTATATAATTGTGGATATTTTTCTTGATACTATACCAGATCTTGACAAATGACAAAGTTTTTAAAAATAGTTTCAATGTGCAACCTGAAGCCGTTTCAGTGAATTTTTCATACTGTTACATTAAAATTCATTGGTCTATCTTACACATAGAATGGATCTTTCTCCTATGCATAATTTTGTAACATCATAAATTGGTCATTTGGAAAATACTGGTTCACTGTTTTACGTAGCTCTTCCAAATGTTGACACATTTCATTATACAGTATAAAGATCACATTAGTTAACATCACCAATTTTATCAGAAAAGTCATTAAATATTGGGAAGCTGTCAAGCTCACAGGACTGGATACAAGTTTTCCAAAAATGAATTTTCACTTGATCCACTGCCAATTTTATCATTGGCAATGAACACTACCAGTGTTTCTCTTGAAGAGACAGGCTTACTTGATTCATTCTGAGAACTACAGTTTGTCAGTCATTCTTTTAAGTAAAGATGTTATTCCATGAAAGTAAGGGGGGGAAAAAAACTAGTTCAGCATACCACTCAATCACATAAGTGTTTTTCCATGACATAACCACTGTATTTCAGAATGCCCCAGAAGTGCTTTGTGCATACTTAGGATTTCAGCACAGAAAACATTAAAAAAGGTGTACTCAAGAATCAAGATTTAATAAGATTAATAATTTCTACCATTTCATCAAAAACGTTTTCAATGGAAAACAGCACTCATTTTTTTTTTAAAGATTTTATTGATTTGTTTGAGAGAGAGGGAACCAGTGAGGGGAGGGGCCGAGGGAGAGGGAGAAACACACTCCCTGCTGAGCACAGAGCCCAACATGGGACTCTATCCTAGGACCCTGAGGATCATGACTGGAGCCAAAGTCAGATGCTTAACCAACTGAGACACCCAGGCGCCCCTCTAGCATTCATTCTAATTACAAATTCATGACAGTGAAGATTACAATGACTACTAGTACAGTTCTGTGCCACTACCTTGATTTGCACTAAGCCACCAGCATTTTTACCCACATCGCTTTTGCTACATCAGTACAAACATCAACACATTTGACCTCCAGACCTTGGGGTTTCCCTAGGAGTCCCTAGACCACATCCCCAGGAGTCTGCTGGTCTACCTAATATCAGTCTAACCCTCCCACCAAAAACAATAGTAAAGCTGGATGAGT